CTCTCTCTCTCTCTCTCTCTCTCTCTCTCTGTTTTTCTGTTCTTAGTAGTAGTTGTTTTTTTTTAAATCTATTGTTCGCCTGCTCGCCAGTAGCATGGTTCTCTGAGAAGCAAACACTCTTGAAGAGAACAATACTAGTCATTAAAGTACAGCTAGTTTCGATTTTGACTCAAATGTCAAAAGATGACGTTTGAGTTTGGGTGGAGTCCAATTATTTTTTTTCCTTCTCTGAACAATCAATGGTTTCATCCTGGTACCCCGCCGGGTGTCCATTTCTTCGCCTTCCTAATGACCTTTGTGTGACGTGCACGTCGTTAAGTCAACATAAACCAAACCGGTGAACCGTGCACGTCTTCCCCACGTGCTGGAAGCGTGTACACCCGGACCATACTGTCCAACGACCTACTTGAAAATATGGACAAATCTAACAATCTGCTTCTGACACAAACAGGCGGGGTACCAACGTGTTGATTGAAAATGGAATCACTTAAGGGGTGTTTTAGAAACGACCTCGACTGCTTCCCTCGCCTCCAATGTATCATTCTTAAGATAAAGCAAGAACAAATACATTAGGATTGATCCATGGGTTGACGACAGGACTGTCAGTACCCGCATTGACTTTGCAGAGATTTTAACAGTACGTGCAGTAGAGCATCGTTTTTAGCACAGAAGATACAGACACCGCAGGACACGTTCATTACTTATATCATGAGAAGGTTACTGCTCAAGTACGCCAGAGATGCTAGTCTTGATTTTTCGAAAAGATAATAAAAAAAACAAAATATCACTCTTTACAGGCTTCATATTTCTTCCACAAACCAATTATAATAACAAGCATTCATCCGTCTAAGTGTGTTCATTTCAAAGCCAGTTGTTGGTTGAAGAGGAAGTACGTTTTCTTATCTTTCTAGCGAAAACTATGTATCTCTTTTTTTTTATGTAGAATAGTCAATTTTTGTTTTGTTGGCCTGCTGGTGCTATTTTCCGACCATGCTTCAGCAAAAAAAATATTATTTTGTTGAAGTAAATATCTTGTTTTGATTTTTTCTAATTTAGAACGCATTGTAGGTAAGTGCATCGCCCGCAGGATGGGAGAGGGGGGAGAGGAGGAAAGGAGGAGAGGAGGAGAGGAGGAG